AGACCAGTTAGGGTTACCAGGGGCAATAAGCCTAAGAGGTACGACGACTTTGTTACCTCAGTCGACCAGGTTTTGGCCACCCCTCAGAGATATGAGGATGTGTTGGCCTTACCTGACCATGAACGACAGAAGTGGCTGGCCGCCATGGATACAGAATTGGACAGCCTGAGAAGGCTCGATGTATTCATGCCAACAAGATTGCCCAAGGACAAGAGGGTGATCAGCACCAGGTGGCTTTTCAAGCAAAAGCCCATTGAAGGTGGGGGCTTTATCTATAAGGTGAGACTAGTGGCGCAGGGATTTTCGCAGAGATTCCCTGACGATTATGAGGACACCTTCTCGCCCACGGTGCGCCCTGAGAGCGTGAGAACAGCTCTCACCATCGCTACCATGCGAGGCGAACATGTATATCAGTTCGATATTCAGACCGCGTACCTGCATGCCCAGTTAGACAAAGAGCTGTACGTGAGGATTCCTCAGGGAGTAAGCCATCGGGAAGATGATGTGTGGTTGTTGAACAAGAGCCTATACGGCTTAAAACAATCTGGTAAACGATGGTACGAGTGTCTCACAAAAAGCCTGAGAGAGATGGGCTTTTTACCATCGTCGGCTGACGAGTGTGTTTTTGTCAAGGAAGATCAGGGCATTAGGGAAACAGTACTGTTGTACGTCGATGACATACTATATGTTTGTAGATCAGAGAACAGGCTTAAGAAGTTCTCTGAGGACCTAAGTAAGAGTTTCGCCCTAAAACCATTAGGTCACATTAGCAAATTTTTAGGGGTGCAATTCGTAAAAACCGAGAAGGGGTTTCGGCTCTCTCAGGAAGATAAGATTCAGGAATTGCTTAAAAAGTGTAGCATGGTAGAGGCGAAACCATGCGATACCCCTATGGCAACAGACTTCCTTAAGAATATGTACACTGAGAGCACGGAGTTTGAGGATAAGACCCTTTACAAGTCCGTGATTGGGTCGTTGTTGTACATTGCAAATTGGACTAGACCGGACATCAGTCTAAGTGTAAATGTGTTATCTAGACATTCTGAACATCCCACACAGTACCATTGGAGCGGAATCAAACGACTCCTGAGATATTTAAAAGGTACTGTGAACTATTCATTGTTATTGGAACCAGAAGCAACTAGAGAATTAAGATTGAGTTGTTTTTCGGATGCCGATTGGGCAGGGGATGTTAGATCTAGAAAAAGTACCTCGGGGTACATTGTATACCTAAATAGTAGCCCCGTGTATTGGTACTCTGGGAAGCAGAAGTTAATTGCAACCTCCACAGCGGAAGCTGAGTATGTGAGTTTGTCCAAAGCTTCCAATAACCTAGTTTGGTTTGACGATCTTCTGGTAAGCTTATGGAGGCAGCCCATGCAACCTATAAAAGTCTATGAGGATAACATGGCTGCCATTAACATATCGGAAGCCGATGCTGTAGGCCAGAGATCGCGCCATATTGATATAAAACAGGTTTCATTAAGACTGTGTATTGTGAAACCAAGGAACAGGTAGCGGACGTGTTTACCAAACCGCTGCCCCGTGACCAACACCTCTATCTTCTGGGAAAAATGTCGATGGCTATGTGAATGTACTTACCATTGATGTACATATGTACCCAATGTAGAATGTATGTTTGTTAACCAGTCAAATAGCCGCAGAGAAGGGGATTGTCACGAGTGTTTCCAGGATTGCTGTGGCTATCCGCCTACTCACAAACAGTATGGTTTTAATCAAGCCATCTGCTGTTGGCAATTACCTGCAAGCCTTCCCCGCCCTAGTTAATTGCAGGTTAACTCCCTATATAAGCAAGGACCTTTTGCTTGCTACTCGGGCCTAGTCTGATCTAGGCCTAAATGCACAGCTCCTGCAGGAAGCTTGTTGCAACGCCGCAGATGGGAGAAGAATGCAGATAAGGACTCCAGACGCCGCTACAGAGAGACTCCCACGGATGCTTGCCTTTTGCTGTTTTGTAGCACGGCAAGCTATCATCGGGACTGCTGTTGCTGGACCTTCTTCCTCCCACAAGCTTCAAGCAATGTTTGCTTTTTGAACTGTTTTTACTTCAGGTGACTTTTCAGCTGTGAAGCTCGTGCTGCTCCCACCATGATGGCCTTGATGATGTATCGACGCCGAAGCTGCTTACCTTCATGCTAGCTTTATTCTTTCGTGAACTGTTTTGGTATTGTGGAGAGGGATCTAGGGAGTTAGCCTTGTTTCACATACCCAGATAAGACTTTGTTTTTAATGTGTTTTCTTAAAGACATAGTGCTTTTTAAATGTTTTAAAGTAAATTATATTTTTACACAAGACGCCTCTGTCAGAATCATTTCAGTCTCAGTGTGTTTACTCATGAGCTGGTTCACGGTCCGGGGTACCCCTCAACCCCATTTCGTCACACAGACATATTATACTTCTTGCTCATCTTCATCATTTGATCCATCAAGATATTCAGACTATGAACTACCCAGCCTGGTTCACCCCCACACTGTACTCATATTTTAGATTTTCCTTACTCGATTGTAAGACTTTGCAATTATCCCTGTTGAAATTTATTTTCCTGGTTTCAATCCTTTTCTAGCTTTTCAGAATTCCTCTGAATTTTGATTCAGTCTTCAGTCTAACCTGTTGCGCCTGTTCCCAACTTTTGTTATTTGAAAATGTGACAATTATATTTTCTTTTCTTTTTTTTTGAATTTTTTATTTATTTATTTTTAAAACATAAAACATCTTTTTGGAGCAAGAGTTTGGCCCGGTATAACATAGGTATAAATTCCCAATTTCATCCATTAACATCTTAAGACAAACAAAAAATAACAAAAAAAAAAACAAAAAAAACCCAAATCTAAACCCAATTTTTATCATTCAATCTAACATCTTATTCTAACATTTAAGTTTCTATTATGTAGTCACCCTAACTCTTAAACTTCAAAGCCAAACAGCACTTTATAATATTCATTTATCATTTTAACAATCAGTATTTCATGTATTTTCTGTACTTCAAAGACCCAAATCAAGTCAATGTTTCTTTTAGTACACATCTAATAACCAATATAAAATATTTCATTCCTCTTTGAAAGACATTTTAAAGTCAATATCCATTCTTCAAAAGTATCTCCTTCATTCCTCCTAGGTTTATTTTTAGCTGGATTGCAGCTTAGTTAGTTGGTTTCCAGACAATTATATTTTCTAATCCTTCAACCACTTTATTAATAGATTGAAAAGAGCCTACAGTCATGTTTGGGTACATCTCTTGACAATTCCAACAACGTTTTGGTATTGATGCACTTTTGTTGATTTTGATCCCTAAATGAACTCTGTATTGATGGAACGGTAGCATAACCCAATCCATATTTTGCCATCTTCTTCATTAGAATTTGGTTTTGTTGAAAACTTTGTTGAAGTCAAGGTAAATTATGTTCACATTCCCATAGGCAGTTAAATGAGTCCTCTGCCAAAGAAGGAAATTGAGCTGACCTGGATTGATTTATTCTTGATAAATTATGCTGGTTTCTGTCAAGCAATACATTCCTTTCTAAATGTTCCTAAACCAATTGCTTAATAATCTGTTCAAAAGTTTTGCCTTTTTTAGTATAAAGCTGACCCAGATCTTCACTATTATCCAATTGTCTACCCTTTCCATTTTCCTCCTTTTACTGCTGATTTAATGAAAAAGGTCCTTTGTGGCATTTAGCTTCCTTTGTGAGCTGCTTTTGACTTTAGCTTTTCTAACTGTATTTCTGGAGACATTAGCTGCTTGCTAGTTTAGTTCCTTGGTGATTCCTACCATGTAGCTGTCCCTTTTATTCTTAGATCAGTTGCAATTTTCCTGTGTATTCCCAATAATCTAATCTGCCTGCTCCATTTTTAAGCCTAAAGTGTTGTGTGAACTTGCCCATGTGATTAATGATTTCAGTGGCACCTAGTCAATATTATCCAGCCTCATAAAGTTAAGCAGGATTAGACCTGCTTAGTACTTGGATGGAAAAGAACAAGATAAAATCACATATAAGTTGATCTAAACTCTGCTGCATGGATGCATCTGTATAGTTTTCTTAACACTAAAGAGATTTCAGCTCAATTATTCTAACAAGGAAAAGTTAGAGGGGGTGTTATCAGATTGTCCTGAATAACTGGAGGAAAATTGGGATATAAATATAACAATAAAACGAAATAATACAGTAGTTTGCCATTGGCTTCTTGCAACACACTTATTTGAAGTTTTGCGGAAACTGAATGTTGCTTACTGATATCCAGGAAAGCCTCTGATAAACTTACTTGTTAACATTCACAGTGCTATTAGAAATGCAGGCAGTCATCTTGATTTGCCACAACGTTTTGGACCTGGTTTTTATGACCAGAGTACTGTGCAATATTTAAGTGCCAGATGGGCCTCCAGATTCAGTCATTTATGGGAGTGAGGAATAAATTCTGATATAGTGCTGCAGAATAGTTCAAGGGTGACAACTGTCAACAACAACTGCAGCTTCCTTTTTTTTCAGGACACAGAATTCTAGAGTTGGAACAAACTCTGATGGTAGCAGTGTAAACCCTTATCTTCCCCAACTTCTGAAACCTGATATCCTCCAGATGTGCTCTATTTCAGTTCTGCAATCTAGCTGATGTGATAATTAAATGTTAAAAAGTAGATAGGAGATGTTAAGAAAACCTTTACTATACTGTGCAAGTTATTGATGAAACTTGATAGTGAATGATGTGAAAACTCAGGGAATTGCAAAGGGATTCTTGGATTTTCTAGATCAGGGATGTCAAACTGGCAACCTGTGAGCCGAATGCGTCACGCGGAGGCCACACTCACCCCAGCTCCGCAAAAGCAAAAAAAAATGCCAGGATACGTCACATGACGCGATCAAATTTAACACCTGTGTTCTGGATTCTTATCAAGATTTGTGGCACCAGCCCCAGTTACAGTCTTTGGGTGAAACTGATCACACCCATGACTTTACAATATCTGACAGCAAGGACACCACACAGGAAGAGGTGCAAAATAAATGACATTTAATGAGGAAATACTTTTTTTTTTTTAACTTCAAACAGACCATACCTAGAAATATTTTTTAAAATCCCACCATTATAAGAATACATTTGGACATAGAAAAGACAAATAACATTTATTTACACAGCACCAAACCTTCTAATGATAAAGTACATATTTCCGTAACTTCATGAATTAGCATACCACCTTCAGATGAGATTTCTGATAATTTTGCCGAAGAAATTAAAGTTTCCCAGATATGTTTAATACTGATTTTCCACAGTTCCAAGCCTGGGAATGACCATTCCAAAACAGATAGTTTGCATTATGTTCAAGAAGACTATATTACATTTTTGCCACCATTCTTCATGTGCCTTGGTCTATACATGTAATGGGATGAGTTCAGAGGTGGGTTTCAGCATTTTGAATAGTTCGGAGAACTGGTAGTAAAAATTCTGACTGGCTCTGCCCCCACCTATTCTCTGCCTCCCAAGTCCCAGCTGATCGGGAAGAAATGGGGATTTTGCAGTATCCTTCCCTGGATTGGGAAGGGAATGGAGATTTTACAGTATCCTTCCCCTGGATTGGGGAGGGAATGGAGATTTTACAGTATCCTTCGCCTACCACGCCCATCAAGCCACACCCACCAAGCCACACCCACAGAACCAGTAGTAAAAAATTTTGAAACCCACCACTGGATGAGTTGACTGCATAGTGAGATGGGGAAAAAACCCCTGCTCAGCAAAATTTATATCAGGAAATCACATTTCTGAATATTCACTTACATCCAGGTTCCTCAAATATGGCTGGCTGGGGAAATCAGGAAGTTGAAGTCCATTAATCTTAAAATTTGCCATGCTTGAGAAACATTGCTTTATATTAGAAGCATGCAAAGAGAAAAGAACTGTATTACCACTTTAACAGTTACTTTTCTCTTTGTTTGTAAGATGCTTTTTTTAAAAAAAAAAATATTGGATGAAATTACTTTTGGAAGGTCTCCCCTCTGTAGTCTGAAGCTATAGAGGCAACTGTCTTATACTAATTCTGCTGCACAAAAGATCAGACTAAATATGGCATGAACTACATTTATACATAATAAACTGTACAAGGAGTAGTTCTTTTGTAGAACTGATAGCCTCAGCTCTCCCTTGTGCCCAGGTCAGTCTGTCCTACAGATGAATAGCAAGTATTTCTAAGCCCAGAAGTAACATGTACAATTTTATTTAGGTTATATTTGAGATTAAGCTGTTATAATGTCAGAACCTAACATTGATCCTCTTAAAAGAAGAAAAGATAGGTTGAGAGAAAGAACTTGCCTTGACCTGTTTGAAAGGATTCCTCCAAAACAGCAGCTGAAATAACTCTTTCCTGATATGCATCTCTCGCACAGGCAGCCACATGCACATACATACATGCCAGAGGTGGGTTTCAGCAGGTTCTGACCAGTTCTGGAGAACCGGTAGCGGAAATTTTGAGTAATTCGGAGAACTGGTAGTAAAAATTCTGACTGGTCCCATCCATTCTCCCAAGTCCCAGTTGATCGGGAGGAAATGGGGATTTTGTAGTAACCTTCCCCTGGAGTGGAGAGGGAATGGAGATTTTACAGTATCCTTCACCTGCCATGCCCACCAATCCATGCCACACCACCAAGCCACATCCACAGAACTGGTAGTAAAAAATTTTGAAACCCACCACTGATACATGCACATGAACACATGCATGTCCGTGCGAGGGTGCGCACAAACACATACACACAAAGTCAGAAAAATACAAAAAAGAGAGACTTGGAAAATTTTAAAACAACAACACAGCATTCAAATTATTTATTGGATATATAGGTATTCCTCGACATATGACCACAAATGGACTCTGGAATTTCAGTCATAAGTGACTGTGGTCATAAAGTAATGCATATGTTCAGAGTCAATTCTGCGATTGTAAAACACTGCAATTGTTAAGTGAATCACATAGTTGTTAAGCAAATCTATTCACCCACATGGGCACTTTTTGCCAGAAACCAGCAAAAAAAGTCACACATTGCAGTCATGTGACCAATAGAACACTGGAAGCGCCCAAAATAAAATGATGTGACTTCAAAGGAAATGAAATGACTGGTCATAAGTCAAGAATTACCTATAGCACAGATGAAATGACAGCAATCCTAGGAAAAGATGAAGAAATGAAGACATCTGTTTCAAAATTTCCTTGGCTACTTATTCATTTGGGAAGCAATCCAGGCATCTCACAAGGCAGAGTGAAATCCATGAAATAATTTCCCGAAATAACATTCCATCCTCTTTGCTGTTGTTTTCACAATGATAATGCAAAACATTTTAGCACCGGGGAAAGGAAAAGCAATGCTGTCTTTTTCGCTCAACAGTGTTCCATAATCTTTTTTGGTTCATAGGACTTAACACTTCTCACCGCAGTGTCCCATTCTGACTGGAAAGATATAAAATCAAAGCAGATTTTCCAATGTGATACGATTAGATCCGAAGTCCAGGAAGAATCTCTCCGCAGGCTGAATGCAACTCCTCCTATAATATGACATGTACTAAGAAAGTATTTTAATAAAATACTGATGCCTTCGGGAAAAAAGCCATCCAAGGTCCAACAAATCCTGAGAGTTTTGCAAAGTGGAAATAAATATAAGGGTTGGTTTGTTTTTCCCCAGTCCCAAAGTAGTTTTGGCTGAGATTACTTGGCAGCAACTTGAGATATCATCCATTCTAAACCAGCAGGAAGGCTGAGTGGAGAAAAAGAAATGATTAATACTAGAAAACCCACAATTCACAATTCCTAGAAGCAAACTGATATTAACTTGGATTCTTTCAAGGGAGAAATCATTTTTTTCTCTTTATCGGAGAAAAGTCCAAGACCTCCCTCCAATGCTTACTAGACAGATAGCATCAATTGACTTCTTTGAAGAATTGTATTGGAGGGCACCTAACATACTGCTCCAGGTTCTAGCCTCCTCATTTCAAAAAATGTTCTAGGTTTTGCTTGAATCTCCACATGCATTCCAAGAAAGATATCAGCTAAGAAAAAAATGTAGATGGTTTCAACTAGATTGGGGTCTCCAAACTTGGCAACTCTATACTAGCTGGGAAATTCTGGGAGTTGAAGTCCACGTGTCTTAAAGTTCCAAATTTGGAGACTCCTGAACTAAATGCTCAGGATATTTTAAAACTGAAGTAAAGGTAATCTGAAGTAATGGACAGCATCTGAAAAGCTAATGTAGCAACTTTACTGTTTTGCCTGCTGGTAAATGGGTGTTTTCTGACCAGCCCCATCTACCCCTAAGCAACAATTATACCCAAGATATGAGCTAAGGGTTCCAGATATGTTCTTCACTTTCAAAAGGATGTGTTTCTGCTTTCCTTAATTTTAAATTTGGGTTGAGTCCAAAGGATAGAACCATATTAGGCAGAAACAACCGGAAACCAGCATTTTAAATAGGGCACAATTAAGGCTGCCCACAGTGAAAATGATTTTTTTCAATTAATTCTAGTTGATTGGGCAATCTTTATAATACTTTGTATAAGAAAATACACTTTTTTCTTTAGAGAAATTATACATGGATATATTAAACAGATATAGCTTAAGTAAATACTTTCCTCTTTCCCCCACCTTCCCACATTCATACACTGAAGACAGCATTGGCCACCTTCAATGTTTCTAAGAACTGTTATTAAAAATCAATCAATTCACATTAGATGAGTTATTAACCACAAACATTTCCACTCATGACGTATTTCAATAATAGAAAATAGCCTCAATCTGTTTAAAAGTGTTCCAGGGTTCTAATCCAGGCTTGACAAGGAGACAGAAAGCTGCATTGTGCAATATTGAATTTATTGGCCTAAGCCAGAACTGTTTTGCTTTCTGCCCAAGTTATGCTGCTATCTCAAAGAAAGAACATAATATTTGATGCCTTTTAAGACTGGCACTTCCATCTGCTCTTTGCTCATTTCACACAGCAACGAGTTGTGCTCGTTGCTGTGTGACGGCAGGGTTGTCAAATAGATGGTTTGTAGATGCCTCAAAAACCAATGGCACTGCACTGCTGTCCCACAACAAAGCCCACACAGGCAAGGCAGCAGCAAAGAATAAGGAGCTGCAGAGTTGCCCTGGTGGGATTTTGAAGGTTTTGAACCGTCACAGGTGCTGTGCTGGCATGTAATTGCCCTGCAGGTGTGCAGAGACCGTTGCTGCTGAAATCACCATTTGTCAATGTTAGTTGACTTCAGGAATGTGTGATATGATATGGGGGATAACAATTGCAGCCACAGGGATACAATATTTTGCTGTTACGGCAGATAGCATATTTTTGCTTTTATGTGTCATCAATAGCATCATTTGCATTTAATCTGTAAATTATGAATTACAAATAATAAATCATTTTAATATTATTGATGACATTGACATAATTGATAGCTATTTATATTTAATATTTGTTGCATATTTGAATGCAAGGCACTGATCAACATCCTTAATGTCTTGTGCCCCCCTCCCCAATTTGAGTTTAAGACTCTCATTCTAGAGAGAGAAGACTTCAGCTGTTCCTAGCGTACAGGATATATAATTCTGGCTTACTGACCCCTCTCCTGTGAGTGCACAGCAACCTTGAATATGCCATGGGTGGTCTTTGATGGAGCTCAGGGTGAGGAACTTAGAAATTTCAGAGGTAGACATGGAATTTTTTATATCTTGCTTGTTGGCAAATATCAACACAGCTGCATTACGCAGGTCCTGGGGAAAGGAAAAGAGAATAGCAATAGCACTTAGACTTATATACCGCTTCACAGTGCTTTACAGCCATCTCTAAGCGGTTTTCAGAGTCATCATATTGCCCCCAACAATCTGGGTCCTCATTTTACCCACCTCAGAAGGATGGAAGGCTGAGTCAACATTGAGCCAGTGAGAATCAGTGAGACTGCTGTTGGCAGCAGTCAGTCAGCAGGAGTAGCCTGCAATACTGCATTCTAACCACTGCACCACCATGGTGCAGAGGTTAGAATATGTGTTTGCCTCCAGTTTCTGATTCATGATTCATTCAAAATGAGAGAAATAATACATAAAACTATCGCATAAAGATCAGAACAGAAAACAGTCACAAAAATGTGTCTGTGGCTTAGCATGAGGTGTGGATCCAAAATGGTTTGTTTATTTGTGGAAGCAATTTGTGGACCAACGACAAAACCAGGATGTGTCATTGGGCCTGAGGATCCCAAGGAAGTGTGGATCCTGTAAGTAATTGCACTGCACTAATTTAGACTGCATTCTGTCTTGTCCTTTTGTACTTTATAACTAGTTTTAATTGATTTCATAATGGTAGGTTGTAATGTTAGTTTTGTTTTAACCATATTTGCCACCCAGTATCACGTGCAAGTGAGATGGGTGGCCATATAAATTTAATAAAGAAATAACAAAGAAAAGCATGATATGGAATCCAGCAACTGTGGTTTAATAAACCATTAATTATGGCTTACCAGCATGACTACATTCAGTCATAATTATTCTACAAACCATCATTGAAATATACTGCTGTGAATTATGAATAATGTAACTGTAATTTAAAAGTCTGTAGAGATTCTCAGTCATCCAGGTCATGGTTGTCCCAAAGGTGCTTTTTCAGGAGGCAAGAAATAAGAAGTCCAGTTGCCTCCTGAAAAAGCACCTTTGGGATAGCTGCAATTATCAGCAACAAAGGTGCTCAGCAGACTAAAAGCATTGTGATTAACACCAGCTGTCTGTAATTACTGTAAGTTCGAATCTCACCAGGCTCAAGGTTGACTCAGCCTTCCATCCTTTCTAAGGTAGGTGAAATGAGGACCCAGATTGTGGGGGCAATAAGCTGACTTTGTATAAATATACAAAAGTATGAAGGCTATTGCTTAACACATTGTAAGCCCCCCTTAGTCTCCGGAGAAGAGCGGCATATAAATCAAATTAAAAAAAAATAGTTTTTATTTAGTATACCACTATTGTAATTTTTAAACTATGGTTTATGATGATGTAATATGCGAGATCAAACAATGTTAGGACTGTCTTGTCCCAAAGGTGCTTTTTCAAGAGGCAACTGAACTTTCTGGTTTTTCTTTGAAGAAGTTTCACTTCTCATCCAAGAAGCTTCTTCAGCTCTGAAGTTCTTAAGTTCTTCAAAGCTGAAGAAGCTTCTTCGATGAGAAGTGAAACATCTTCAAAGAAAAACCAGAAAGTCCAGTTGCCTCTTGAAAAAGCACCTTTGGGACAATCATGACCTGGATGGCTGAGAATCTCCATAGACATCAAGGACTATCTGTAATGGTGAAAGATCTGTTAGGATTCAGTTGTTGCTATTGATTGATCTGTAGTAGTCTCAATTTTACATGTTTTAAACATGAGTTGGTTAGCAGATGGATTGTAAAGCACCAGATACCACTTTGATGGCTTCTCATGTAAATAATCTCTAAAAAGAAATAAAAAATAAAATGTTCTGCCATAGCCTGCTCTCTGCCGACTTTTTCCTTGGAGGGAGATTTTTCCATCCAATCACTTAAAAATGAAATTCAGCCAGCTCTAGTGCCATGACTGGACCAACTTGTAATTGGTACAAGTGTCAAACCCCAAACCCAGGGTTTGCCATTCCTGGGGGAGGGACCCCTGCAATGGTGGTGGGTGGTAAGAGACCATCCCGACCAGAGGCTGCAGAGGCGAAGACAATGACGCTGACAAACAGCTGATCCCAACCAGGCGAGATTCAGGTGATGATCAGCTGTTTGGACGTGCGGTGAGAACGACGAGGCTGGCAAGCAACTGATCCCAGCCGGATGACATTCGGCCAAAGATCAGATGTTCAATGGGCCTGTGGACCAATCAACAATCATCTACTCAAGTCTGCAGATGATCAGCTGATCGGGCCTAACTGAGGGCTGGTTGCTGAAGCAGTGGGAGGGTGCGGCTCTAGTGTTTAAAAGGAGATTTTTCCATCCAAGCACTTAAAAATGAAATTCAGCCAGCTGTAGTGCCATGGCTGGACCAGCTTGTAATTGGTACAAGCAACATTGTAACAGCAAATGTAAAAGATGTCCAGGAATATACAATATACAAAACAGCTGTAGAGCAATATCTAAAATCACAGACAACATATAGCTCTGCATGTGGTAACAGGCAAACTCACCTCGTGAGCTAACATCTTATACAGTTCCTCTTTTGTCACTGTCAGCCTCTCACGATCTGTGCTATCGATCACAAGGATGACAAACTGATCAAAGGGGGAAAAAACACATTTATAAACTTGATCAAGACTAAGTGAACAGAATTGAAGCAGTGGCTGAGTTCATACAACCCACTACAAGCACAACACATTGCAGAAATAGTGATTTATAAACCATGTTTGTGATGTAGCACATCACAAGCGAAGCAATTTTATTTTACTCAATAAGCTACTATTAAGCAAACCATTACTGTAAGCCTAGTTTTCAAGGGCCAGTCCTTGTGTGCCCCAAACAGCATTGTTTAGAGAAAAAGGAAATATCAGAAGGCGTGGAGAAAGATCCTATCACACAGGAAAACTTCAAAAGAATGAAAAGTAAGCATTCTTGATGGCTGTAGAAAACTCTCTGTCTGATGGAAGGAAGTAGAAGACTAGACAGGAGACCAAATGCAAGTAGAGCTCCCTCAGTGCATGTCTCGTTTTCCTACATCTAAGATTTAAGTTAGTATTACAGCATAAATATATTGTTCAGAGGTTTTGATGAGTGTTTGCTAAAACAGGTTCATTATTTTGCACAGCTACTAAGCTTGCCTTCGTTCCAGGAACAACAGAGTTAAATAATCAAAATACATTCCTAACATCAGAACATAATTCATGGAAGCCAAAGAATAAAATAATTTCAGGGCATGTCTGCAGAGGGAAGGAGATCCAACTGAAAGAGACATGGAGCTCTCTAGACATCTTCCCCAAGGGGATTTTTAAAAAGAGATTCGAAATGTAGGAATAGATTTCTACGTGGCAAATAGTGTACTGTCTGGAAAGCATATAGGAGAAGGAAAGAGAAGAAAATCACATTTCATGTCTAAAAATGTCAAGAATTCAGTTTTGGCATATGAAGAATGAGTCTCAGCTTGCCTTTGTTCTACAAAACAGAAACTATGATACAATCAAGATTCACGGGTAATTCCCATGCCCCACAAAATGCATACCTAAGCAATAACTTTGCATGCGATAGCACAACATCAACAAGAGGAAGTAGAGTGACAGAAAACAGCTATCAGAGAAAACCAAACATAAGATCAAAGAGGTATCCAGAACATCCTTCCCACATCGTTGCTCTGAAATTCAGTGGCAAATTTTAGATTTTAGTTGTCTGGTTTTCCCAGTTGTAAATAAACAGGAGAACAGATATACAAAACCTCCTTTTATATCAGGACAACTTGTGCCATCCAAATGGTCTTTGGAAACTAAAAAAATATTGTTAAAAAGCATGTCCACTAAACACAGAAACATTGGCTGGAAGCGACTTCATAATCATAATCATAAGTTTATTTGTCAAGCATATATAAGATAACAGGTAAAGTTGAAACATAATTTGAATACATGAAAAGAGTAAGTAAAAAGGAATATTAGGACAGGGACGGTAGGCACAGTGATGCACTTATGCATGCCCATTACAGACCTCTTAGGAATGGGGTGAGGTCAACAGTAGACAGTTTAAGGTTAAAGTTTTGGGGGTTTGGGGAAGAAACTACAGTCAGGTAGTGCATTCCAGGCATTGACCACTCTGTTACTGAAGTCATATTTTCTGCAATTGAGATTGGAGCGATTTACCTTGAGTTTGTATCTATTATTTGCTCATGCATTGTTGTGGTTGAAGCTGAAGTAGTCATTGACAGGAAGGACATTATGGGAGATAATTTTAGGTACTACACTTAGGTCAGACTGAAGTCGGCGTAGTTCTAAGTTGTATAAGCCCAAAATTTGGAGTTTGGTGGCATAAGGTATTTTATTGCAGGTAGAGGAATGAAATAGAGGACTTGAACAGTATTTCTGAATATCATAATTTCATGCTAGCTTTCACCAAAGTGGTGCCTCTAAATCAGTGTTTCTCAACCGTGGCAATGTTTGGATGTATGGACTTCAACTCCCAGAATTCTCCAGCCAACAAGCTGGGGAAGTCCACACATTTTAAAGTTAGCAAGGCTGAAAAACCTTGCTCTAAGCTGATGTCTTTTGAGACCTTTGACTTTGCTTCTGTTATCGACTTATAAGGGGGACTAACATAGCCACAAGCCTTTTGACATTTCAGTATTGGTTAATATTGGCAGGTCTTAGACCTTTTGGGTAAGCATTATACCCACATAAACTTAATCCAGAATTAATCACATCATAGTATGAGTTCAGATTTAACCTGTATGAAGCATCAATCGAGAGTAGTATATTAATTATATGTATTTATGATAATGGGGTTTAAGTTCTTTTTAAAAATACTCTGCCTTTTTGCTAAACTGTAATTTCGTTTGTTTAAACTTAGTATAAGTGGTTTATGCTTATACAAATTTGTATTCCCAAGAATTATTGCCCAAATTTTACAACCTTTTGTGCTGCTTATGAAGCTAAGTGTAAACAGGAAAAGAAACAGTGGATGTAAAATGGGCATTTCTGAAACAGTATCCAGATAACTCTCAACTTGTGACCATAATTGAGACGAGAATTTCCATTTCTAAGCAAGGCAGTTAAGTGAGTTGTGTCTGGTTTTCAATCTTTTTTGCCACAATTGCTAAGCAAATCACTGCAGTTGTTAAATGAATTTACAGTTGTTAAGCAAATTAAGCTCCCCCCTCCATTGACTTTGCTCATCAGAAGCCATTTGGGAAGGTTGCAAACTGTGATCACATGACTCTAAGATGCGGCAACTATCAATTCTGGTTGCCAAATGCCTAAATGTTGATCATGTGACCTTGGGATATTGCGACAGTTGTAAATGCAAGGACTGGTCATAAGTCTCTTTTTCAATGCTGTTGTAACTTCAAACAGTTACTTAAACAAATGATTGTAAGTCAAGGACTTACCTGTATCTGGAACAAAAACTTTTAAGCAGTTATAAGTGAACTGTACATATATAATGGCACATTTATCTTTTCTGGTACAGACTTTTGCCCCCTTTTATGACTAAGCAAAGCACATATCTGGATAGCATTAAGGAAAAGGGAAAGGTTCCCCTTGCACATATGTGCTAGTTGTTCCTGACTCTAGGGGGTGGTGCTCATGTCCATTTCAAAGCCGAAGAGCCAGCGCTGTCCAAAGATGCCTCCATGGTTGTGTGGCCGGCATGACTAAATGCCAAAGGTGCACGGAATGCTGTTACCTTCCCACCAAAGGTGGTCCCTATTTTTCTACTTGCGTTTTTTATGTGCTTTTGAACTGCTAGGTTGGCAGAAGCTGGGACAAGTAATGGGAGCTCATCCCTTTACGCGGCACTAGGGATTTGAACCGCTGAACTGCAGACCTTTCGATGGACAAGCTCAGTGTCTGAGTCACTGAGCCACCTATAATAATATATAAGGCTGTAATGGATAGCATTACAGACTGAATATTTAGTGTATTGTGTCCCACTAACCAACAACCAAAGAGCAAAAGCCTTTGCTAAGTTTTGTGGTAAACATAGTTTATGGAATAATTATAATGTGAGAGCTCAAGAAACACAACTCTGGATCGTTATTCTCCCCACTATTCCGTATCTATTTTACTTCCTTAATTTATTTACTAATGTTTACCCAACTCACCTCTGTGTTGGAATAGTAGGTGTTCCAAGTAGACCGCAGATTTTCCTGACCACCAATGTCCCACATGAGGAAATGTGTCTTGTGTTGGATGATTTCTTCCACATTGCTTCCAATTGTAGGTGACGTATGCACAACCTCATTCATTAGGCTGATGGAAGACCAAAACCATAAGGTGCTTTGTTAGTGTCCCATCCTCCCACACACTTTTATCTTAAAAAAGAAAAAGAAAAAGGCCAAGATGTTTGAGACAGTTAAGCCTTCAAATTATTTATGTTCCATAGAAATTGGAAAAATTAAAAAACTTGTTAGAAAAAGTACACACAGGGACTAGTTTAATGATCTTGATTCTTGTTTTGGGAATGGTAAGAAACAGAACAGGGATGCTATAAATCTCTCACGTCCCTTGAACAACAATTGAAATAAACATTATCTATTGGAGGGCTGAGTATCCCAGCATGCAACCCGGTGCCCCGCCCATTAGCAAAGAGAGCAGAGAGAGGCTGCGTGTATGTGTGTGTGTGCTACAACTTTCTATGCACACTCGGTGGATGTAAGAGTGGTGCTGCAGCGAGCCGGGACCCTCTTTTCCTTGGGAGACAGTGGAGAGCAAGGGGCAGGCAGGCAGGCAGGCAGGCAGGCAGGCGAGCCGCTTTTGTAGGAAGTGGTGCTTCTGGGCTTCGGAGAGGGAAGGGAAGCCGCGGGGATGGGCGTCCATTTGAACCTTGGGCTGCTTTTGATGCTGCTGATCGGGCAGTGCGGCGGTGCCATAGATGAGTGCACGGATGAGCAGAGCGGGCAGCCCCAGCACTGCATGCCCGAGTTCGTCAATGCTGCTTTTAACGCCACTGTGGTGGCCACGAACACATGCGGTAGCCCGGCCGACGAATACTGCGTGCAGACCAGCATCACTGGCATCACCAAGTCTTGCCACCTGTGTGATGCCTCCCAGCCTCACCTGCAGCATGGCGCTGCCTTCCTCACTGACTACAACAATCAGGCCGACACCACCTGGTGGCAGAGCCAGAGCATGCTGGCCGGTGTCCAGTACCTCAATACCATTAATCTTACTCTCAATCTCGGTGAGTGGTACCAGCTGGGCGGGGTCAGGGTGGACTAGAAGCTCTCGGAGGAGCCCTTCTGATCCAGCCAATGTAGCTGCTGCATTGCAGGCTACCAAGTTCGGCAAGGCATCGGTGTGCTTTTTTCCCCTCTTTTTCTTTGATGTCTCGGCTCTCTGCCGACAACTTGGATTTTGTAGCATCTCCTGGGCAGGAATTTGGGAAGGGTTAGGCCTCTGAACAGTGATCATCCTCTATGAAACTCTGGGGATTTCATTTATTTGTAATTAGAAGTAAATATTTCACAATATATAATTACATATTGTTTTTGTGATTAATCACTGTGCTTTAATTATGTTCAATTTGTAACAATGAAAATGCATCCTGCCTATCAGATATTTACATTGTGATTCATAACAGTAGCAAACTTACAGTTATGAAGTAGCAATGAAAATAATTTTATGGTTGGGGGTCACTACAACATGAGGAACTGTATTAAAGGGTTGAGCCATTAGGAAGGTTGAGAACCTATACTAACAGCCAGTCAGATTTTTAGCCTGGATTTGGCATTTGTCTTTCCCAAGGGCCTGGGATAGGCAGACATGGTTGTTTAATTATTGAATACTGAAATATATCATATATTATACTAAATAATATTATGATTCTTCTTTGTTACACAGCCAAGCCATGTCAGATGTGGAAAAAACAGGTCCATGTGTAAAGGTTTAATGTAATTGATTTATTGCCAGAAGCTCAATGGCTAAGACACTGAGCTTGTCGATCAGAAAGGTCGGCAGTTTGGCAGTTCAAATCCCTAGTACAAGTCTCCTGCGTGAGCAGGAGGTTGGACTAGATGACCTCCAAGGTACCTTCCAACTCTGTTACTGCGTACGCCCCAGAATCTTCTCAACTAGCAGTCAGGTTCAATAGTAATCAAGGGGAGCTGGACCTATCCCATTCATGGCTACGTAAGATCTCTAACCTCTTTTTTCCTCTCTCCCTGACTCTGCCATTCCTTCTCCGACAGCCAGATGTTTAAACTAAATTTGGCATTTTTATCCATCTATCAAGTCCTTGCCAAATATTTGGGATGTAACTATTATTTTAAACGGCAAAAGGTAGGTCTTATCTTTTTTCTGGATTTTTACCCTCAAAATTTAGAAATGTGCTCATATGTGTTTCATACATGATTAATGGATGTATTCTAAAGGCAAAATGTGTATAAAACAGACACTCAATATCACCCATCAAATACTTTTGGAATTTGAATATATCCTAGACTACTGTATTACAAAAGAGCCACAATTTAGTTGTAACATGCGAAGTATGTTCTAATACAGTGTATTTGAAACTTGGCAGCTTTAAAATGTGTGGACTTCAATTCTCAGAATCCCCCAAACCAGCATTTAAAAAGCACTATTCTAGTTTATAAATCAGACTATAAATTAAAGCAAGGCAAAAAGTCACTCTTTTTTTAAACTCGAGTTCTCCAATTACTGAGAACTTCAGGAAAGGGATATGCAGTAGTGACACAACGATATCACTAGAGACGCAAAGGTGGATGTTTCTTAACTTTGGAGCTTCAGGGTTCATTTTTAATCAATTCGCTGTTATGTTTGTTGCACTGTAATAATTTAGAGGTTTGCTACAACTTTTTAATGGCATGAGTCTGGAAAATTTGGAAACTGCAAAGAAAAAAAAGATTGAAAATGTATGCAAATCACAGGATATGAGCATGCCTACTCCTGGATTAAACTCTGTTTCAAAGGGAACAGACCAAGAGATTTATTTAAACTAGACATAAGATACTGAAAAAGGAGAAAGACAAAGAGACACTCACAACTGGTAAAGGATGGTGGTTTTTCCAGCATTGTCCAATCCAATAATTATCACCTTATGCTCTAGAAGAAGATAAAGTTACAATATGTCAAAATTAATGTGGTAAAATATAATTGCTACTTCTTTCTTGTGCGACCAGAACAATCTGGAACTGAACACACCCAAAACTGTAGAAATGGTGGTGGACTTTAGGAGAAACCCTCCCAAACTTCCACCTCATACAATACTAACACAGTATCAACAATAGAGACGTTCAAATTTCTAGGTTCTACCATATCTCAAGACCTAAAATGGACATTTAACATCAAAAACGTCATCAAAAAAGCACAACAAAGAATGCTCAAACTGCCTAAGGAGCTGCTGATCCAGTTCTACAGAGGAATTATTGAGTCTGTCATCTACACCTCTATAACTGTCTGGTTTGGTTCTGCAACCCAACAAGACAGACACAGACTTCAGAGGATAATTAGAACTGCAGAAAAAATAATTGCTACCAACCTGCCTTCCATTGAGGACCTGTATACTGCACGACTCAAAAAGAGAGTCAAAAAGATACCCCTCGCATCCTGGACATAAACTTTTTCAACTCCTACCCTCAAAACGACGCTATAGAGCACTGCACACCAGAACAACTAGACACAAGAACAGTTTTTGCCTGAAAGCCATCACTCTGCTAAATAAATAATTCCCTCAACACTGTCACTAGTTATTAAGTCTGCATTACTATTAATCTTCTCATCGTTCCTATCACCCATCTCCTCCCACTTATGACTGTATGACTGTAACTTTATTGCTGGTATCCTTACCAGTGGTGCGTTTCTACCGGTTCGGCCCAGTTCAAGTGAGCCAGTAGCAATGATGGTGAGCTGAGAGCGAATCGGTTCTCTCTGACGGTTAGGTTGGGCCTCCCGCCCACCCCTGTGTTATACATACCTTATATTTGGTCATTTTTAGCCCAGCTGAAAGGCCCGGCAGAGCGGACTGCCGCATCTCAGCTGTTCCGTAACACACTGCGCTTATGCAGAGAACAAGTTTGGCTTGTGTGCACAAAGCGCATGCATAATATGAACCAGTGGTTACACCGGTTGAAACCCACCACTGATCCTTACGATTTATATTGACTGTTTCCTGATAAGATTTGATTGCTTATTTGTTCCCTATGATTATCATTAAGTGTTGTACCTTATAATTCTTGACTAATTTATCTTTTCTTTTATGTATCAAGCGTATGCAGCAAGACAAATTCCTTGTGTGTCCAATCACACTTGGCCAATAAAGAATTCTATTCTATTCTATTTAATTCACCCATACACTGAATTATTATTGCAATAATGCAATTGAGGAATAGACTGAGGGAAGGTTTGCTCAAGATTACCAACTGAACACATAAGAAAAATAGCTCGAATCTGTTATTTCCATCCATACCTAAACAAATATGCATGCAACTCATGAACCTTCTGTCTCTCTACCCCTTTTCAAATCCTTTGGTTGGCCAGTGGATTTATTAGGGATTCCTGAGTAACGTAGGAATAATGATTTGGCCTGGTTTAAAATTTACCATGCATTATGAACCCATTAGTTCAAGGCTTGCTTATATCAAACCATCAATAATCCTACCAGTCTGAAACCAATTAAGTTGATTTAATTACAGCTTAATATTTTTATCTCTCCCTTCATTTTACACCCACTGGAGGAGTTTTCATTGACAAGTGTATCACACATCCCTGGCATAGACGTCCTAGAAGACCAATTCCCTTGCTAGAGGCTCCAAACTTAAGTTGTGATAATTATGATTCTAAGAATCTGCAAATCTAGAATCGAATATCCATGTGACTAAGATTTCCATGTCTTATTTGGTACTATATAGATCTAGGCTGGTGAAAGTTCAAAGCCAGTGTGCTAGCTTTGTATAAAATGCTAAGAAAGTATTCTTGATAGTAACATATCCTTACTCAAATCTATTCATCCCCTTTTTGTAATCTCTTAATACTTAACCCAGTGTTGGGTATCGTAAGATTCTAAGGTAGAGAAGACAACTTACTTGTAGTGTGGTTAAGACACCAGGCTAGAAACTGGAGACTGGGAGTTCTAATCCTGCCTTGGATTATGTTGTGGTCCGCCAGCAGCCTGCGGATCTGGCAGCAGAGTCAGACAGCGAGGAGGCTGAGGGAGGAACATGGGCCAGTCCTGGAGTCTGGGGAAGGCTTGGACGAAGGCTCTGCGTCGCAGGCAGAGATGGGGCCAGGACCATTTGGGAGCTATGCACAGACTCCGGAGCCACCAGAGTCAGACATCAGAGAGGCAGAGGAACAGGAGGAGCCTATTCCTAGTGCGCACATGTGCAGAGCTGCCAGAAGGCAAGAATGGTTAAAACTAAAGGGACGACTTGGGAGTAAGGCCTGGAGATGATTGGCCCCTCACATAAGGCTTAAAAAAGGAGCAAAGGCACATGGGCCCTTTGCCAGGAAAGCAACGTTGTTAATTCTCTTTCCCAGTCAGCATCTCTGTTTGATTCTGGACTCCGTGTGGCTTTGCCAAGTAGGTCTTTGGCAGCGAGTCAAGGGAGATAAGGTTGGTGATTATCCCGATGGACTTTTCCCGAAGGACTTTTTGCAACTAAATGGGACTCAGTTGTGAATGAACGTAATTCACAGCTGTTGCAATAAAAGAGGTTTTTGGGACTACTGTGTGTTTTAATGACTCAGGAAGCCTAGGTCACAACAGGTTATAAAGCCAGCTAAGTGACCTTGAGCCAGTCACTCTCTCTCCACTCTAGAAAGAAATGGCAAACCACTTCCAAAAATCTTGCCAAGGAAACTGCAGGGACTAGTCCAGGCAGGTGCCAGGAGTCATGACTGATTTGAAGGTATCAAAAAGAAAGAAAAAGAAATGGGAATACTAAATCTTTTTGTTCACAGACCAGTGTTGGAGCAAGATTTGTATCATTTGCTGTTTCTTGATTGTCTAGTTTTTCCTCTTGGCCCCTTTAATTTTTGGACTGTGTTTCAAGTTTATCCTAGCTGGCCTCTGTTGCAAGAACTGAGGTCTGACTACCTCTGAGTTTGATGGCTTCACAGTAGAAGAGATGCATTTCTCTAAGGAACTCGGGAATGGTGTACATCAGGGGTATCAAACTGATGGCCCACGGGCCATATGCGTCACACACAGGCGACACCCACCCCAGCTCCACGAAGGGAAAAAACATCATGATATGTGACATAGCGAGTTTGACACTCGTGGTGTACATCCTTCTCTGTTTCACCCAACAAATACTGTTAGATGATGCTGAAATAACATGACTTTCTCAGGTGTGGCTTCATTACTGGGTAGGATTTTGAAGTGAGCTTTATTAATCCTAATTTGAACTTTTCAATAAACAGAAATAATGATGAGAATATCCCAATATTGAGAAATGACACTGGTCAAGTCCTGTTTCAATTGTTTCTGATGTTGCACTACATAACTTTAAATTTATACAAGATGCTTAAATTTTTGTACAAATATTGATTGGAAATGTTATACTCATATTGTACTATGCAAGTTTTAAGAGTTTGTGAAATCTTATATTACAAGGCAGATAATTACTTCCTCCCAATTCTTGTCAGCGGTTTTGTTCTTATTGCTGATTCAAAGGTAGCAGAAAATGGCAAGTTGCAAAATCTACATTTTTAGATCCTGTTTCAAACTTATTATTTCATGTGGATGGAGAAGACGCTCACACTGAAGTTTGGAGAAGTAATTGCTTTCTGATATTTTTGCTATTCTTTCTCAATGTGTAATATGTGTAGACCAAAAATAATGTTGTATTGTATGCTATTGTCCTTTAAGATGGTGTCTATGATTTCGGAGAGGAGACAATTGTCAGGGAAGGAAAGTTAACCCCCTTATCATCTATAAGTGGTATTAGGAGAGGAAAGGAGAAAAAGATAATGTTACTCATATTCTTCTTTTTCCCTGTTTGAAGAAACAGAAGAAATTTGTTGGTTTCTTCTGTTCCTCCAGCATATTCCTGTTCCTCCAGCATGTTCCTACCTAGGTTCTTGCTTAAATATCCTGGATACTAATCTGCTGCATTGCTTTAGGGAATTTTGAATTTTAATTTTTCATATTCAGTACTTAAGTGAAAAGTACTCCATGCTTTACATAGAACTTCTTTATTACCATAGGTAAATTTAGGAAGTAGTAAAAGTTAAGACAGTCCGGATTTTAGGCCATGCGTTGCTGCGGCCCAGTCTGGTGCTTCCGCTGGGCTAAAAGAGGGAGGCTGAAGTTCCAAACTCTCCACGAACATTTGGTGGGCGTGGCCAACTCAACGTCACTCACTTTCATCAGTCACATGACAGCCCCTGAGCCACGCCTACCCAGCTGGTGATTAGGGCAGAGAACCGGTTGCTAAAAACAATGGGAACCACAAAATCCTCCCTCTCTGTCTCCCCCTCTCTCTTTGTATCTCTCTATGTCTCTCTCTCTCCCTGTCTGTATCTCTCTATGTATCTCTCTCTCCCCCTTTCTCTGTATCTCTCTGTCTCCCTCTCTCCCACCTTCTCTCTCTGTATCTCTGTATGTCTCTCTCCCCCCCACACAGTCTCTCTGTATTTCTCTATGTCTCTCTCTCCCCCTCTCTCTGTTTATCTCTGTCTCTGGCCCGGCCTCTTCTGGATCCCCTGCCATCGCCCTTACCTTTTCAGGCCAGGCCTTCGCAGCTCTCTGCACCACAGCAGAAACTCAGAGGCCCCCTCTGTCCTCCCTACACAGATGTTCTCTGGGGGCTCGACGGGGAGACGCATAGCAGGGAAGGGGAGGGAGGGAGGGAGGGGGTGCGGTGGGGGTTCGAGGCTGATTTGGGGCTTCCCGCCCGAAGGAAGAAAGCAGCAAAGCCAGGAGCCATGCACACCCCACTGGACCCCTGCTGCGCAGTTCTCCTCCCCTGCCTGCCAAGGGTAGGGGAATGATTAAATCCCCCGCTCTTCCAGGCAAAACGAAGAAGGGCCGGCCATCCTCCCTCTTGGCCGTTTCCGCCCCCGAAGCCTCCCCGCAGCCCTTTTTCTGCCAGAGGCCAAAA